AGTCCATATTCTACCAACATTTGTAATTCATACAAACATTAAAGTAATGAAGACTCTAATTTTATTAGAAGTTAGGATTTTGATGCTATAGAAATTGTTTTTTCAATAGATTAGCAGTTAAAGGCCATATCAGTATGTAGTATTACTCCATTGGTGAAAAAAGAGGCCATAAAGTTTGATAATTGGCCATTGGAGCTAAAATCACATCTTGTTGATGTTGAAGCATGAAAGATACAAGTTTTTATCCGCTTGTATTGCAATCGTTTTACCTTTAGTCTTGAAGATCTTAAAGGTCATAAAGGCAAACCTATTCACATCCAATTGGAAGATGATTACCTAATCTTTTCATGACTTTATAGACTTAGTGCCTTAAAAAAAGCTGATGTCTAAGCTTGTTATCAAGAATTATTGGTTATAGGCTTGATTGAGCTTTCAAATGGTGAGTATGCTTATGTTACACTCATGCCTTTAAAAAAATATATTTTTAGAAATTAAAAAAAAAATAGATATATAGAGATTATTATTTAATTAATCATAAAACTAAATCTAATTAATATCCAATGTCAATACTAAAAGAATTATTTAATGTAGTAGGATTCTTTCCAGTATTTAATACTTTGGATTTAAGATCTACTTATCACCTATTATCATTATATTATTAAAGATTGGGTGAAGATAATATTTTGAAGAATTGATTAAGATAACAAAGATTAATTCTATCATTGGAAGTTCTTTCTATTTGGTCTTAAGCATGCACCAACGAAATTTCAATAAGTAATGGATTAAATGGTATTTGACTTGTCATTTGGTAGATGCCACATTGATGATGTTATCATTTTTAGAAGCACTCCATAAGATCAAATGAGGCATTTACAAGCAATATTTAAGCAATTATAGCGGTAGAAATTGTGCTTACATTATAAAAAGTACAAATTCTTCTATGAATGATTATCATACTTTAATCACAAAAGATCTTAGCATACAACAAACAAAGTTAGATGTCTTGTAGAAAATTCTAACACTAAGTGATGTTTCACAACATCAAGCTTTCCTAGAGTTGACAAACTACTACTAAAAGTTTATTAAAAACTTTACCATTATTGCTAAGTCTTTGACTATTCTCATAAATAAAAATCAACAATAGACTTGGAAACATGAGCAATAACATGCATTTAACACATTGAAGCAAAATTTAGATTCAATTCTAGTATTTCAATATTTGGATATCAATAGACCTTTTCAATTATATACAAATTGGAATGCAATAGAATTGGGAGTAGTTTTGATACAAAAAGATGATGTATAACAAGAATTTATTATTTTATTTGATTCTAAAAGTAATAACAATACAAAGTCAATTATTCATCTTATAAAGAAGAAGCTTTAGTTGCAATTTGGGCCATTGTCTACTTTTGATCTTATTTGTATGGTCAATTTTCTATATTGGCAATTGACCATCAATCTTTAAAGTAGCTTATAGAATCAAATAAATTTATTGATAAACTTGCAAGATAGACTTTGTTGCTTCAAGAATACAACTTTGAGGTTATGCATCAAGCAAGCATTACCAATTTGGATGCTAATGGATTTTCTTGTAATCTATATCCTTCAAAAGAAGAATTAACCAAATCTTGGTAGCATAAAAATTGCAATTGAAAGGTAGTTCCTAGATCAAATGTAGCCACAGACTTGACTTTAATATGAGGTTCTGCAACCATGGTTCTTAACTAAAATTCAAATGAGGAATTGGATAAGAATCAAGTAATTAGTAATATGTGGAAAGATCTTATAGTCTTGGACAAGCTTCAACAAGGAATATTTTTTTTAATTATCTCTAATATAAAAAGAGATAAGATTATTTACTAAATAAAAAGATTTTTTAAAAAAATAATTTGTTATTTTTTCTATGGTTTAATGGAGCTAAGCATATAGTTTTAAGGTGAGATCAAAGAACATCTTTAATACAACAAGTACATAAAGTACTTGAACATTTTAAGATACACAACACATATTGTATATTGAATAATCAATATTAGTGGAGTAGTATGTATTAACAAGTAGCTACATATGCTTTTTGGTATGAACTATGTAATCAAGTTAGATTAAGCTTTAATACTTTACCACCTAAATTTAAGCCATTACCTATTATAGATTTGTATTATTGTTAGGCTTTGGACTTTATCCAGCTACTTTTTGTTACTTCTTGTAGAATTAAATACATATTTGTGATAGTAGAATATTTTAGAAAGTGGATTGAATTTGTGGCCTTATCACAAAATTCTTCAGAATTGGCACCTATGGCTTTTCTTCATCAAATATTGTCATGTCTTAGAATACTTATTGAAGTCTTAACAGATCAAGGAAGAGAGTTTTTTGAAAATTTTAAAACTTTATATACTGAAGCTTTAATAGATTATTATACTATTTATAGAAATAATCTTGAGATAGATAGCCTTACTAAAAGAGTTATTTAGATTGTCAAATGTAGATTATAAAAGTATAGATTACTTCATCACAACCATTGTAAATGAGACTTAATATTTCAATGGATTGCAATGGATTGTTTCTTCAATAGATAAGCATCTTTAATATCTTATAGTCTTTACTAGTTGTTGTATAGATGAGAGTTAATTCTATCCAACTCAATATGTAAGTAGATAGTTTTAATTATACACCTACATAATTTTGATGTTTAGGCTCAATGTTTATATGAGCGAGCAGAGTTTTTTAAACAAGCCATGTCTATTGCCATGGAAAACTTATCTATTGCTCAACATTATAATACTTTGCAATATGTTCATATTTGTAATAGAATTTATTGATCTCAATTGTAAAGATTTTCTAAATAAGATTATGTATATTTACAACATGAGTTACCTATAACATTTGATATTAAAGTAAGGCACACAATTCTATATTTAAAGAATATATTTTTTTTAGTAATATTTTGTTGCTAGAAGGTAAAGATGGACAAGAATATTGAAAGCATTTAAAGAATTGTATTCCTTATTATCTTCCTATTAATAATTCTATACATCCTAAATTGACAATTATACAAATTGATCTTCTTTGTTTTATATATAGTAAGAAGAAATGAATTGCTATCATGCTTTTATGTGATCAATATCAATGTAAATAGCTTATGGCATGTTTGACACTACCTCTTTCAACTTTCCTATCAAGAGATTGATTTTGTCCTTATTGTAAAAAGTCTTCTAGCTATGTCTCATATCTTAATAAGGATTGAAGATTTCTTATATTATGGATGTCAAAAACTTTAGTGGTTTAACTATGAAAACACTAAATTTGAAAGAATATAGTTTGGCATTTACATCATGGTGGTGTTCATCTTGAACAATGTATGTTTGTAGTTCTAGTTAGATGGATGAGCTCTTAATCAACTAAGGAAGGCACTTGAGAGTATATTGGATGTTTATTTATATTTGGTTTAAATTACATATTTTATGATTAATTAATAATACTCAATATATTGAGTGTAAGAATCTTTGTTTGCACAATAGCTATGACATGGTATGGCATTAGGTACCAAATCCAATCAAATATATATAGTTTATTTTAGTTAGTGGTTATTCATCCATTGATAGTTTTTTTGATTGTTTACTTGTTCATATCAATTAGAATTTAAGTATTTAAATAAATAAAGAAAAAAAATTTGACTTCACATTCTTGTCAAGTTAAGTCTTATGAGTGATTTTGAGAGTGAAAAAACTTATTGTAAGGATTTTCTTAACTACGGTGTTTTAGCCATTTTAGAAAAGCTTTAGGATATTTCTTATTTTCACATTTGCAACCTTAGATTCGCCCTTTGTGGTGTAAAAGTTAGCTTAATTTAATTTGGTATAGATTTCTAATCTTTTCTTGACAGTGTGCTGAATGTGCATTTATCTTTGGTTTAAATTACATACTTCATAATTAATTGGTAGTACTTGATGTGGTGTATGTAACAATCTTTGTTTACACAAAAAATTACTTAAAGTATGTCATTATGTTGTATTTGTTTTATACATATATATATATATATATATATATATATATATATAAGTTTAATCTCTAATTCTATATTAGTATAGATATTAAATCACAATCTTTAAATTACAAAATCAAAACTTTCTTCTTCACTTAATTTATAAAGATTCATATTTTTTATAAATTATGCAAAAATTAAGATTATTAGTTTATTATCTAAGCATAATTTTTGTGCTAGCAAATATTATTAGCTAAGTAATAAAAATTAGTAAAAGAATATTAGTTAAAAAAAATATTATATATATATATTTATATATATTTATTTATTTTTATTTATTTATTTATATATATATATATATATATACATATATATTGGATATTGCTAATGCCACTATGATTTTTTCTATTACAATTTCAACTTGTCATCGACCACATGTCATCACAATTTTTGCTATTACTACCACAAGTTGTCCTAAACTTATATTGCACATTACAATACACTTTATGGAATACTAATGTACACATCTATAAAAAAATATACTTTTTTTTTGATTGTGGTGTAAATCAAAAATGCTCAATAAAAGTGCATTATAGTAAGGAATATAAGTTTAGAACAACTTATGGTGGCATTAGCAAAAACCATTATGACATGTGGTATATATATATATATATATATATATATAATATTTAAAATTTATTCTATAATAATTGGATAATTTCATAAATTTTTAAAAGTTAAAGCTAGTAAAATGTTGATAATGCAGCCACACTAAATTCAACAAACTGATAGATCATACACTCAATTACAAATTCATCCACATATAATTACACACACAAACTCATGTGTATATTTGTTTCTTATAGAATGAACCAAACTGAATGCTACCAAAAGAAACTTTACTAAAACTTGGACCACAACACGTTGGGGAGAAAAAATGTAGAAATTGTATTCACTTATCTTTTCCAAATTCATTCCATTCTAAACGTCGTAATTGTATATCAAGTTTCCAATCATGGACGCTCGACAGATGAAGACGAGCCCAATCATCCTCTCGAACATCCATCCATTGTTCATCCTGACGGCTTTAGGGTCATCTCCCTCCTCTGTCGAGCACTATCTTGACGACGGCAACGCCAGAGCAGGTTGCGAAGAAGTGGTCCAGCGATGGTGGCCATGCCTGCCCTCTTCTCCTCCTCCTTCAGGGTTCCCGTCCTTCGCGTCGCTTCCCTCGTCTGCACAAACACTCGTTGCGTCGCCTCAGCAGCTTTTCATCTGGTATTCTATAGCTCATATTTGGTAGTGTCTGTGAGTCCTAACAAATTGCTGTGTGTTTGTCCAATGGCGTGCACGTTTGATTACTGGAATTTGTTTGTTGCCTGGCGTCCATCGCTTGTGAATTTTCATAACGGGAATGAGAGATCTGGAGTCGTTTGCGTTAGTGCAATTTGGATTTATCACACACTGTGTTCATGAGCTAGGATTTGTATACTTCAATGTCGCGGGATTTTGAGTGTTGCCGAGAAGAAGCCTGAATCATCCTAGGAATGCATGGCTAGAAGTTATTGATGAGAATGTTGAACTCTTTTAAAAAAAAATCGAGTTTTACCGCTCGTTCATCGGGATTTTAGGAGTCACATGCAGTAACAGACCTAAATACGTGGCAGTATAAAATTCTGACCTTAGCTTTGTTACATTTTAATTGAATGGATTGTGTGTGTTTTTTTTTTCTTCCTTTTTTTTCTTTTTTCTTTTCTCTTTTTGCGATTGTTTGACGTGAATGCTTTGGGCATTTCCTCAGAAATCTCGATGTTTCTTAAGGTTTAGCCATTATTTAAGGAGCATTTGCTACCATCTTTAGAAAGCTTCATCTCCTTCATTTGTTTGACGACGCCTTGATTTCAGTTTTTAGAGTACTGTTGGTCGATGTCGCACACATTCTTGATTAGAAATGACTTCATTCGAGTATATAGCACGAATTTCGATTCGAGGGTTTTGGTTCGTACATCCCAGACAAGGATTAGTCAACTACTTCCGTTGAGTTCTGTTTGGTGAGAAATTCTTCCTCCATTACAGCTACGGCACAGTGCTAATACCACGACGTCTGAATTGGTCAGAATGCCGCAGAACTTGGTACACCATTCCCTTAAGAGTCCAACTCAATTTACTTTGGTGGTGTCTCATAGAGTTGTACGTGAGCTCTTGCAAGACGTAATTCATAACTTTGCATGCTCTAAGATCTTGGTTAATTATCCAGAATGCAACATGCTTTAGCGTTTCGTGTGATCGGAACCTGATGGCTCTAGAGATTTGTGCTGTAGTTATTGTTCTTCTCTTGTTTCTTATAGTTATTGAATCATGTTTGCAGGCGAGCATCTCACGTTCAAGCAAACTTGAAATTAGAGGTTTTTCGTCAAAGACAAATATTTTTCGAGATCACATTCGTTGCAGGTTAGTGGATACTTTAATACGATCTTTGATATGAACTGAGGAAGATGTTCTTATGAGGGACAAGAACCAGGATGATTTACTATAAATAGTACAGCAGCTTAGCGACCCCTTAGCAGACTCGCACACAATTCTTTTAGTTTCTGGTAAGGCCCGGTGCGGAATCGTTCTGAGGCAGGTCTAGTTGGTGTTGAAAGCATACCCTGTAGAGACTATCATTTGTTAAATATATTATTTTACGATGTATCTAGTAAAAAATGCATCGCTCTTTCTGAATTTTCATGTACCCATGAAGAATTCAGCTCTAGTTGCATTCTGTTCACTGTCTGTTTCCCGACTTTCATCACGTTCAACAGTAATATTGAAGAACTTCTTAGAGGTGCATTCCTTACTTCCTGTTTTTAGCTTCCGAAGGAACAGAATGTATGGTTCAGAGTGAAAGGAACCCATGATGCTGACAGTGCGCCGAGGATTGGAGACCTTGGTAGTCGGAATAGTGCTGGTGCTGACATTTGGCAACTTTCTCAGCCCAGGCTGGTTCAACCTCTCTCAAGTTCACTCGCGTTTACTCACCGCAGCAGCTTCTCGAGTGTATTCTATGGCAACTCCTGATGCGGCGCCTTCCATCGTTGTTTATGTGACAGTTCCCAACAAAGAAACTGGTAATTTTGCCTTTCCCTTCGTGTAATTTGCTTCTGAAGTATTTGGATTACAGTAAAGCTCAGATTGTTTTGAGTACATGCTAACGATTGACCCGAATATAATCTCCAAAGGTGTAAATGCTCTGCATTGAACTAGGTTCTGTGTAAGAATGAATGTGAATGAATGAGTACCTCTGGGTTTGAACTCAGGGACAAAGCTGGCGCATAGCATTATTGAGAATAAGCTTGCCGCCTGTGTAAATCAAATTCCAGGTCCGTTCCGCTGGCTTTTCTTGAATGCCAGTCTACCTAGTAGTGATCTCTGGAAGTCACAGGTGCATGTAGCATCTATTCTATGGTAGAGTGGAGAAGATTTTTCTTTTATTATCTGTTTGATTGTGTGCATTGTATCCACAGCCTTGTTCTGCCACGGCGTTAATTATATGCAAAATTGAAACTCCCAAACCGTCACCGACAGTCGTGGCGCTTTTTTTGAACTTCATTTTGTAAAGCACTAAAATGCTTCTAAATTCAAAAATAATTTATTTAGTGCCTGCTATGGATCAAGCCAGTATTGTAGCAAAACTACATTAACCACTTAGAGTCGTTTTTTCACTTAAGCTAGGAACTCATTCAAGTGGTTATGTTTGTGTCCCTGGGAATTCATTCAGGCGTGGAATCCACTTATTGGTGGGAGGGCAAGGTAGTATATACATTGCAATCGCTCAATTACCTCTGAATTTAATGATTCATACATAATTAAATTCTTACGCTCTGCTGTAAGTAACGTTTCAGATGAAACATTAAATTTGGAAAGCGTCGTAGTTCTTGCCGGAGTACTTTATGTTCATTCACATGTTTAATGATAGTTAGTGAGTTTCCTCGCTGCAAGGGATTTTGACTAAAGTCCTTAACCTTTTATCTTGTGTACCAATGCATCTATGGGTTCGTTGACCTCCCAGGTTGAGACAGATACAGAAATCCTTCTCATGATAAAAACTCGGCAAGCCCTTCTTGGTGAACTCACGGACCATGTAAACAACAATCACCCTTACGAGTAAGTGCCTTGACAAGAAGTCCATGCCTTGATCTAGCGCTTGATTATTAATTTTACAATTCTGGATCACTACTCCGACGGTTTGACCGTTGCTGACCCCTTCAATCCCTTCTAAATTCTATGCTTATAAACGATGGATAATTCTGGCTATCACAAGGTTGCTGGGATAAATACATGTTGCATTTGTAAATCGACATGAAAATTGTGGAATTCACCAGCCTAACTCATTCAGCATGTGCTGCCTTTGTGCAGCACACCAGAGGTTATTGCTTTGCCTATCACTGGTGGAAGTGAAAAATACTTGAAGTGGATTGGAGACAACACTAAAAGGGCAGAATTGGCTTAAGGGGCATTTGCACTGTGTTCCATGTCTTGGATCAGTTAGCTATGTGCGAAGGCCTTCAAAGCAATCCTAATTTCGCATGGCCATAGATATGCTTGAATAGGTTATTCTACGCCTGAATAGTCACTTCGAAAATCCTGAACTGAACATGTACACATGCTTACATTTTGTGATGACCTTCATCACAAATAAAGTAACTTGAAAGAAAATCTGATCGTATGTCACCAGTTCAGACACTTCATATATTATATCTCCACGCCCGATCGAACCCATTGGTTCCTCGAAGGCATACGCAAATTTGGACTCCGACCAGAAGCGCTACCATGTCCGATCCGAAGTCCAACAAACTCCTGCAAACTCCTACCTCCGCGAACCAGAGCTGAAACGCACCAGAGCCTCTCGGCATTCTAGGGTCATTGGATTTCTCGCCGATGTTGTTGGTTGTCTGACCCTCTTGCACCAACACAATCGCTGGTTGCAATGGTGTGACGCTGAAGTGGGCGCTCTTCCGTCAGCGCTCGGAGGGAGGTCCATGACGGCGTTCTCGAAGTGGCATGCCTCGCTGGTATGTTCGGGCTCAAGGGCTCACGTTTCTCGAACGTGACTGTTGTAAGCGTGCTGGGCTGACGGCATGCACCATGTCTGTAGGTATCGAATCCTCCGATGCCCTTCTTGTGACATCCTCGTAGACGGTGGATTGGCCTCGTGGAAACGCGTGCAGTCCAATCAGCGAGGATAAGAGAAATCATGTGTGGTGTGAATCTGCGTCCCATCGTCTGGGCTACTTTGGACAAGCGAGGTTTGCAGCGGCATTGCAAGTAACCAAGTGTATTCTCTCGTTGCGCGCAGGCATTGGATTTTCTGTTCGACGGAGGAGTAGGTTTTTCCATGTCCACGTGCTCCACGGGTAGCGCGTCCTCGCACGCCGCATCTCGCATCACCTGTGTTGGTCGCTACACAACCGGGGGAAGCATCCAGAGAAAAACCGCGTCAACAAACATCAGCGCAGAAAATGCTTGAAGACATGTCGAGGCATGTCATCGATAATTGACTGAGAACGACAGCATCGTCAGCCGACGGGAGCCGAGGCTCATGCCAAAGAATGGGCTGGATCGGGACATCGGCCGTGTCCCGCTTTCTTCATCACGTGAGTGTGTGGAAACCGACGCCTGAGGATCCATGTGCTGATTGGACTCTATCCAGGATAGATTGTAAAAATCAGAAGCTGCTGCCGAGCGAGGAGCGCGGGGGCAGTGGAGTGGCGCGGATGTTGCGCCGAAGTTGTGCGTGGAGCATTGCAACAGTCGCGTGCGAGACCTATGAAGTGTCCACTGTGAGCAGCAGCCACGTGAGGACGGCCTGCCCGGCGAGGAGTGGGCACTGGCGATTGAAGAGGTTCACGAGAGCCGGAGAGTCCAGACTTTAGTTGTAATGGCCCCGTTGGCCTTCGTAAGCGGCCGCTCCATCGTGGTCTCCCAGAAGTCGCATCGCCGAAACGGGGGCATGGCGAGTGCAAGCCCCGGAGGAGGGAAGGGCATCGCGGGCGTTGGGCGGGGCGGGCAAAACGGAACAGAGGAGGGGCGGGAGCAGCGCTTGAGCACTTCGGGCGGAGAGCGTGGCGAGGACTGGCAATGCGGCTCCAGCGCACTTCTTTCCAAGTGTGAAGCCCAGGAAGAGGTGCAGAAGGCCGGGAGGGAACCGCGCGGGCGAATCCTCCCGCGGGGCTGGAAAACAGGGATTACCGAGGGTGATCGACGCGCAGGACTCTCAGACAAAACCGAGTCGAGGGCGTTCGACGGTTGGGCTCGTTTCAACGTTGCTGTTAGAGAATCATAAAGAGGAACCGGTTTCCTTCTGACATCCGCCTTCCGTAATAGTCTAGATGGTTAGGATAACTGGCTTTCACCCAGTCGACCCGGGTTCGAGTCCCGGTTACGGAGCATTGCGGGGATAGCTCAGTTGGGAGAGCGTCAGACTGAAGATCTGAAGGTCGCGTGTTCGATCCACGCTCACCGCATTCCACCTTTTGTGGAAAAGCTATAAAGCTTCTATTTTTTATATTAAATGTTTCTTTGGATTTGTAGATAAATATCCAAGGTGAGTATTTAGACTTTATAAGGCAAGATGGCATTCATTGGAAAATCAATGGTTGTTGAAATCAATGCAATAGACATTTACTATATTATAAATCTATTGTTGTAAATGTAAGGATTTGAAACAAACTTGAATTCAAAGATTGAAAGATCACAATAAACCTTGTATAAAAAGGACAAGGAATACACATTTTGCAATCAATATTTGGTCTTTATTTTTTAGTGTGCTTTGAAACTAAACCTAATTCATGGAATTTTTATCATGATAGATTTTGAAGTATTAATTAAATACAAGCTTTTAAATATAATTAAACGTGGTATGTGTTGGTTGGTAGGTTAAATACCTAGCCAATAAGTTACCCATGTATTGCACATGTTGGTAGCTTGTGGTTCAAGTTAAATATATGGCATACATGTAAGAGACTTGGCTTGTAAATATGGCATGTGTCTCACAAGGTGGACATGTTTTAGAGGTCTTATAGAACCTTGCTACATAGCTTCTACTTAGATAGTATATACAGAAGCAAGAATGAAGCCTTCTTCATTCTTTTCAACACCTTTATTGTTAGTCTTGTTTTAAGAATCTTCAGTCTTCTTGGCTTTGGCAATAGCCATTTTAGTTTCAATAGTATACTATTTTGAGTGAATATCTATTCTTTCTAAGCAACATAAGAATATAGAATATGTTTTATTTGTTTGTGATATATGTACTTGATAATTTGACAAGAGCACTACCTCAAATATGATTCCAAGAATCATATGGACAATACTTTATAAGACTATGCACATTCTTCTTGTCAAAGGTATCTTGATAATTTTGGTATTAGCTTGGAATGCCACTTGTAATCTTTCCACATCAAAAATGGGTGTAGCATATATAACAAAAGGTGACTAGTCTTTTGTAGTATGCATGAAAGCTCTTGCATCTACTAATGAAGATTTGATTGTTGTAAATTTGTGACTTTTAAATTGAAAAATATAGTTCTTAGTTAAATTACAATAAAAATTAAGGTTCCAAAGATTTTAGTCTATTTAAGGATTATACTACTTTAATCATGATAATCCTAAAATAATTAGATTAGAGAAAAATCTAAGCCACTTATCCCAACCTTAAAATCCCCATCGAGATTAAAACTGAAAACACAACTGTGTGTTACAATTTGTGTCTGACACATGTGACTAGGCTACTGGCCGGATGTAGGTGGATTCTTATCGTTTCAATTCTAGCACCATTTCAGTGCTGGTGTCTAGACCTTTAGCTTAGAAAACTGAGGCCTATGGCCGTGCTGGGTTAAACAGGGGACATCTGTCGCTAGAGGTAGGATTTTGTAACTTCCTGTTTTTGTTGTCGTTACTTATTTGATGTAATGAAAAAACTAACTTGCCTTGTTGATGTTGATCTTTTTGAGGATGTCGGTTACCAAGGTTAAAGAGTTGTCCTCCGCATCTCTAATATAGTTAGACTTTTCCAAAATTGTAGGTTGTTTCTCGCTGATTCAACTGTTCTGTGGAGGTCTTTCCGCTCGTATGGAATTACGTCAAAGAGACGTTGTCGTTTTATGTTGATGCGTTGTTGAGGCCGTGTTGTTCGTGGTAAATTTGGGCAAAAGGCCCTCCGTTCTCGCTCCATGTTCACCAAATCTTCTTCTGCTTCTTGTTTGAGGGTTGTTTCTTGTTGTATTGTATCGTCATTGCTGATATGAAAAGAGTAGTTGGGAGTCATATATCGTTGGCGTTGAGGTGGATTAGATGGTGAATCGTGGGGATTGGGGCCTGGTTGCTCCTATCTGATTCACTTCGTCAAGTAGGTTATTTATGGCCACTAATGCGCTCGTTGTGTCCGGTTCGAAGCAGCAGGTCCGTCCATCCGCTCGAGAGTAGCAAGACCAGGAAATGACACAATTGTGTTTGCATCGCACATCAATGTAAAAGAGTAGTTAGCTTCTTGCTACACAAGGCCTTGTTTATGTTGATCTTATTAAGGATGTCGGTTATCGAGGTTAAAGAATTGTCTTCCATCCGCTAACCAATTGTGAAAATTTTCGCCTTGTAGAAATTGTGTAGTTGACGCATAGATCTCTGATGCAGTTAGACTTTCCCGAAATTGTGGGTTGTTTCTTGCTGATTCAACTATTCTGTGAAGGTCTTCCGGTCCGTATGGTATTGTGTCAAAGTGACGTTGTCATTCTGTGTTGATACGTTGATGAAGCCGTGTTGTTCGTGGTCAATCTGGTGGAATGGCCCTCCGTTCTTGCTCCATGTTCACCAAAATTTCTTCTATTTCTTGTTTGAGGGTTGTGTCTATCTGTTGTGATGTATCTTGATCACTAATTTCAAACAGGGTAGATGGGAGTCGTATTTCGTTGGCATCATGGTCGAGTGTATGGTGAGTTTGGGGATCGATTCCTGGTTGCTCAGATCTTGGTTCACTTCGTCGAATAGGTTATCTATAGCCAATGACAAGTCTCTGCTCTCAAATAGAAGTTGTGGAATCTTCTAATATGTCTATTAGAGGTTGGACTGTTGTTGAGGAACATCCTCGGCTAGGTGCTGTGGTAGGAAGTTTGATGGGGGAAGCCGATTCAACTGAGGAGGATTGCCGGATACGGCAATTATACTATACTATGTTCTATCCATACTTTGTTGAAAAGATTTATGAGGGTGTTGATCTTTGCTAATACCAAAATTATCAAGATACCTTTGACAAGAAGAATGTGCATAGTCTTATAAAGTATTGTCCATATGATTCTTGGAATTGCCAATGAGGTAGTGCTCTTGTCAAATTATCAAGTACATATATCACAAACAAATAAAACATATTCTATATTCTTATGTTGCTTAGAAAGAATAGATATTCACTCAAAATAGTATACTATTGAAACTAAAATGGCTATTGCCAAAGCCAAGAAGACTGAAGATTCTTAAAACAAGACTAACAATAAAGGTGTTGAAAAGAATGAAGAAGGCTTCATTCTTGCTTCTGTATATACTATCTAAGTAGAAGCTATGTAGCAAGGTTCTATAAGACCTCTAAAACATGTCCACCTTGTGAGACACATGCCATATTTACAAGCCAAGTCTCTTACATGTATGCCATATATTTAACTTGAACCACAAGCTACCAACATGTGCAATACATGGGTAACTTAT